GTTTCACTCTTTCGCCCAGGCTGGAGTGCAGTGGTGCCATCTCTTCTCACTGCAACTGCGCCTTCCAGTTTCAAGCGATTCTCCTGCCTCAGCCTCCCACGTACTGGGATTACAGGTGCCCACCACCATGCCTGGCTAATTTTTGTTTTTAGTAGAGACGGGGTTTCACCATGTTGGCCAGGCTGGTCTCAAACTCCTGACCTCATGATCCGCCCGCCTCGGCCTCCCAAAGTGCTGGGATTACAGGTGTGAGCCACCGCACCCAGCTCCACTCCCTTCTTTAATTCCTTTTCCACCATTCAGACTTCACCTCCTCCAGACAGCACTCCCTGACACTCCCCAGGGGCATCAAGCGCCTCCTCTGAGCTCCCACATCCCCCTGTGATTCTTTTATTCCACCCGACTTCTCTGCCTGTGCCTCCCTCAGCCATGACCACTCTGGCCTTTGAGGTCTTTAATTTTTTGAGATAGGGTCTCAGTCTGTTGCCCCAACTGGGGTGCAGTAGCACTATCCTAGCTCACTGCAACCTTGACTTCCTGGGCTTAAATGATCCTCCCATCTCACCCTCCCAAGTAGTTAGGATTACAGGCATGAGCCACCACGCCTGGCTAATTTATTGTTTTTAGTAGAGATGGGGTGTCCCTATGTTGCCCAGGCCGAACTGGGCAAAACCAATCCTCCCACCTTGGCTTCTCAAAGTGCTGAGATTATAGGCATGAGCCACCATGCCTGGCCCGATGGGGTTTATCTAAGCACGAATCAGACCGTGTCCTTCACCTGCATTAGACTCTTCTATAGCTCCCCAGTGCCTTCTAAATATGTAAGCTTCTAAGGCTGACATTTGAGACCCACCTTCCCCATTCCCCCTCCTCAGGCAGGTTATGTGGCCCCAAGGAGTAAAGCCAGACCTTGTAAACCAAAGTAACCTGGAGGCAAATTAGGTCTCATGTTGGGTTTGGTGAGAGAATAAGCATCCCATCATAGAAGATATGTTAGCAGAATTTGGACAGCCAGCTGTGAGAGGAAGCAAATACCTGCCCTGGATGATCATGGGGGGAACACATTCCAGGTCTCAGATATCTCATTTTCTTTTTTTTTCTTTTTTGAGATGGAGTCTTGCTCTGTCACTCAGGCTGCAGTGCAGTGGCTTGATCTCGGCTCACTGCAACCTCCGCCTCCGGGGCAGAGGTCAGGAGTTCGAGGCCAACCTGGCCAACGTGGTGAAACCCCGTATCTACTAAAAATACAAAAATTAGCCAGGTGTGGTGGCACATGCCTGTAGTCCTAGCTTTGGGAGGCTGAGGCAGAAGAATCACTCAAACTCGGAAGGCAGAGGTTGCAGTGAGCCAAGATTGCACACACTGTACTCAAGCCTGGGTGACAGAGTGAGACTCCACTCAAAAAAAAAAAAAAAAAGGTACAGACCCCTTCCATCATTCCTGCAGACTTCCTCAAGCTGGGGAGGGCTGAGGATTTCAGGAAACATTCCACTGGCTTGCACACAGTGCACCCCAGGGCAAGGGGTCATGGTATAAATTTCAATTCTTTGTAGAGGCCTGAGAGGCTTCAAAAAAAAAAAAAAAACGTGGAGTGCAGAGGCTCAGTCTGAATGCCCTTTAATTATCATCACACACCCCAGGCAAGGTGGGGTTGTCTTAGAATATTTAACCAGTATTAGCGCTAGGTGCAGATTAGAGCAGGAGAAACTGCGACAGTGGGGGGCAATGGGGGCAGGGCAAGGGACATAAAGTCAAAGTGGTTAAGATACTTCTTTTTTTTTGAGACTGAGTTCGGTCCTTGTTGTCTGGGCTGGAGTGCAATGGTGCGGTCTCAGCTCACTGTAACCTCTGCCTCCTGGGTTCAAGCAATTCTCCTGCCTCAGCCTACTGAGTAGCTGGGATTACAGGCATGAGCCACCATGCCTGGCTAATTTTTTCATTTTTTTTTTTTTTTTAGTAGAGATGGGGTTTGGCCAGGCTGGTCTCCAACTCCCGACCTCAGGTGATCCACCCGCCTGGGCCTCCCAAAGTGCTGTGGTGTGAGCCACCACACCCAGTCAAGATATTTCAATCTGTGAGTAACCCATATGGCCTGGTAACAGCAAGTCCCTGGGAACATATATATATAAAACCCGTGTACAGACTGCCCCGTTCACTCCTCACAACCACTCTGCTAACATACTACCATCACCCCATTTTAGAGATGAGGAAACTGAGGCAGAGGTGCCTTGCCTAAGGTTCACACAGCTACCATTTGAGTGCCTACATGGGAGTGCCTCATTTGGTTCCCAAAGCTAGCCTATGAAACAGGAACCTTTTTTTTTTTCCCCCCAAAAGAGGGTCTTCCCATGTTGTCCAGGCTGCTCTCCAACTCCTGGCCTCAAGCGATTCTCCCACCTTGGCGTCCCGAAATGTTGGGATGACAGGCATGAGACACCGCACCTGCCCTGTTGTATTTTATAAACGTAGAAACTGAGGCACTGGGAGGTGAAGTAACTTGCACAGCATCACAGCCAGCCCGGAAGTGGGCGAGCTTGGATTTGAACTTACACAATCTGGAACTCACACTCTTAGGTAATGCGCAGTGACGCTGTCCAATACAGGAGACATATATGACTATTTAAATTAATCAAAAGTAGCTGGGCCCAGTGGCTCACTCCTGTAATTCCAGGATTTGGGGAGGCCAAGGCAGGAAGATTGCTTGAGCCCAGGAGTTCCACACTGCAGTGATCTAGTTACACAACTGTGCTCCAGCCTG